CCCTCTGCCTGGTTCCCTGTAACCTCACTTCTCGCAGTGAGGGAACCACCAGAAGGCCCACGGAGATGGACCTCAGTGTCTGGGTTGAACGATGGGGGTGGAGACGCTCCTTCAGGAGCAAATGATGCAACAAAATCTCAGTCCCCCTGCCCCCCTGGCACAACATATCCTCCCCAGCCTTGACCACCTGCATCCCTAGATGACTTTGAATTTCTGCTGTCACTCATCTGACATACCTACCTGTGTAGCATATAGACAAGTTTGTACTTGGAAATTTAGCATTTGGTGTGGTGGGATGGATAATTGGTGTGAGACATTGTGAAACAGTCTGAAGAAGAGGGAGCTGTGGGAAAGCCTGAAGACTTTATGAAGAGTTGTAGGACTTCAAAGAAGCTGAACTTGGAGCTTGGCTGTGGAATTTAACACAGCAAGGACTTTGAATCAAAGAATCCTCTCTGGACTGAGAGAAGACTTCTTGTACCACCTGTAACTAGTGTGTGTATGTAGTGTGGTGTACAGCTGTTTTCTGTGGCAAGCTTCCACAGCACATACACCCAGCCCTGACAAGTTATCGAAGAACACTGCAACTCATTTAATTAACTGAAGCTGCATCATCATTTAAAGTCATCTTATGAAAAACCACTTTGTAAAAATACTTACGCTTTTTTGATGGATTCTACAGAAGGTTGTGTAGGGTGCCAGAAATTTGGTGGAGGCATTTTCACGAGGGCAGGAAACCAGCAGACTTTTCTGGTGTAGGTAGAACAGAAAGGAGAAGATAAAACATTTATTGGAAGCTGATTATGACCCATCATCACAAAACCCAATAACTAACATGGTGAAAACTCCAGACAATAAAGCAGGTAGCCACAATTGTTTTGGATTTTTCTGTTAAATATCATAGATATGATATAAATCATTGCAGTAATAAGTAATTTTGAGTGTTGCCTTATACCAGGGGTCTGCAACCCGCGGCTCCGGAGCCACATGTGGCTCTTTTACACCTTTGCCGCGGCTCCGGGGCGGATACTAGCGAGGGGAGGAGGCGCATTGTGCGCCCCGACACTCCCCACTGTGGCGGGCGCTGTACTGGCTGTGACGTCGCATGGGGGCAGTGCGTGCGTTAGTCACGCACCGTCCCAACGTCACCTTCCCGCCCGCTGGCAGATCGGACATTAAGGTAAGAAACAATATATGCAGTGTTATATTTGTTTTAAATGTCACAATGGTTTTGCGGCTCCCAGGTTTTTTTTCTTCGGAAACGGGTCCAAGTGGCTCTTTTTGTCTGAAAGGTTGCAGACCCCTGCCTTATACTGTGAGCCCCAGAGGGGGGTGGGAATATTAATGTTTAAGAAAATGAGCTCTAAGTTGCTCTAAGGCCATCAGAGAGCATTTTATTCCTCCAGTAGAAGCCCAAACCCATAAAATATAATAATCTGAATTGGGGCTGTGACAGTCAGAAGGCACAATATAAATCCAACAAATTAAAATTTGCAGTTATGACAGAGGGCACTTCCATGCAGCAGTTTCTTGTGAATTCAGTGCTGCTCGTGGATGTACGTTTTGTGTAGTCTGCACAGGACACCATCCTCGTCAAAATAACATCCCGTATCCCCCCACCTCAATTTAATCCAGATCAAGTTCAGATTATAAATCTGACATAGAAAACCATAGAGTTATCTTAGTTCTTGCTACGAGCCGGTAGTTTGCCCTTCAACCCCATAGACGGAAGTGACCGTACCTTAGTTATTTCACTGACAACAAATCCTTCAGAGGCTACAACTTCAGGAATTCCATCTGAGCTCACCCCCTGACAAGTCAGCTTACCATACAAAGTAGGTTTTCCTACGGCATGCAAAAAACACAAACGAAAGACTTAAAAGGTGTTAAATACTTTAGACAGTACTTTATAAAGCCATCCTTATCTATTTAGGTTTTCTTTTTAATGGAGATCTTCAACATGAGTTCCTCCTCTAGCTAGAGACAAATGTGATCCACTTTTAGTTAATGATTCACAAACAGTTCTCTGTCAGGTTTATTATTCGACTCCCACTTGTAGCAAACTAACATAAATAAACAGTAATCAAATAAGAGAAAATCAGAAAACGAGGCTTGTTATAGTCTTAACACACTTGTTCACAAAGTACCAATGGCTTATAATTCTGAAGTTTTTTGTCCGTAGTACAAAATCATCTAAAACGGATTTTGGCTTGTTTAAAAAATAAATTTGTTATTTCTGCTTCACAAATGGCATTAGCTGGTGGAAAAGCCAAGCCTCCCTAACTCTGAATATTGGCAGAATTTCAGAGCTTGGTGCTTAAGCTAAAGTGTGGAGAGAGAGCTGGTTGGACACAAAGAGAATGGAACTGTACATTATCACCACAAAAGGGACAGAGGATTCTTCTTGTTCACCTGGGCTGCTGCAGCTTAGCCAAGCCTGCTCCTCATTCTTCCTGCAAAGATGAGAAACTCCAGTTAGCATAAAGCAGGGACAGCCAACGTGGTGCCCTCCAAATGTTGCTAGGCTACATCTCCCATCATACCACCTGCTATACCACCTGCACTGGCTCCCGGTGGAGTATAGGATCAGGTTTAAGGTGCTGGTTTTAACCTTTAAAGCCCTATACGGCCTAGGACCCTCGTACCTACGGGACCGCCTCTCCTGGTATGCCCCACAGAGAAACCTACGGTCGGTAAATAAAAACATCCTTAAGGTCCCAGGCCTCAGAGAGGTTAGGCTGGCCTCAACTAGAGCCAGGGCCTTCTCGGCTGCGGCTCCAATCTGGTGGAATGCTCTGTCACAAGAGACTAGGGCCCTGCGGGACCTGACATCTTTCCGCAGGGCCTGCAAGACAGAGTTGTTCCACCAGGCCTTTGGTTAGGGCGCAGCCTGACCCCCTCCTCTGGCAACCTGCACAGTATTTTGGTTGCCATCAATTTGATTTTAATTAATTTTTATAATGAAATATTTTAGAATGTGTGATTATTCAACTATTTGGTTATTTGATTGTTGTTAGCCGCCCTGAGCCCAGCTTCGGCTGGGGAGGGCGGGATATAAAAAATTATTATTATTATCATTATTATTATTATTATTATTATTATTATCATCCTGTACCACTGACTTTGCTAGCTAGGGCTGAGGGAAGTTGTGATCCAACGACATCAGAAGGTACCATGTTGGCTATCCCTAGCATGAAGGATCAGATGCTCACTTGGCATCAGTTTGAAGGGGATCAGAGGACATTGGATTTGGGGGTGTTAACTTGCAACCTGTTTCCTGTGTCAATTCCTCAGTTTGTGGGGAAGCACAAGACAGGCCCAAATGAGCACAAAACATTGGCATCAATTTGGAGGGGATGCAAAAATTTGGGGTTATACATTAATGAAACTGAAGTAGATGGAGGTTTGGAAAGGAGCAGCTATTGAGTTCATTCAAGGCTAAAGGGATTGGAGGGGCCACTTCTTCATCATTATTATTATTAGTGCAGGCTGAAGTATTTGGGGGAGCTGGAGAGCATTTAAGGGACAAAAAAACCACACCAAAATTTGATGTGGGGTGGGAGAAGGGAGGTGGCAAATGACAGATGGTGGAGGGCAGACTGTGGGAGCACCTTGGCACCATACCCAAGGAGAGGGCAGTGAAAGAAAATGGGCAAAACCTTCTGCCCACTTCAGAAGAGGCAACTCTTCTGAAAGGAAAAAAAACATTGGGGGTGATGGGCAAAGGATGGCAAAGGCAGACAGGCAGATTCCTTTGTGCTTGACTCAAAAAGGTGAGCCCAAGATGGAAACTCAACTCCTGGAGCCCCATGAATGGTCTGCCCTACTTTGAGGTGGGGAGGATGACTGCTGAAAGGACCACCAGCAGCAGGTGATGTGAAGGGGACTGAAAAACAAGTAAAAGATCAAGTGGGGGGGGAGGAGAGATGTATCTGAGGGGGCACTGAAAATGGGGGACAGGAGGCGGGGAAGAGACAAGTTTGAGGGGGGCACTGAAATGGGGATCAAGGGGGAAGAAGAGAGACATGTTTGAGGGGACATTGAAAATGGAGGGGCGAGGGAGGAAAAATGCCAAGTTTGAGGGGGGCACTGAAAATGAGGGGCTGGGGGGAGAAAAGACAAGTCTGAGGGGGGAATTGTAATGGGGGTGTCAAGAGGGAACAAGAGAGACATGTTTGAGGGGGCGTTGAAATTGGAGGGAGGGGAAAGCCAAGTTTGAGGGGGCACTGAAAATGGGGATCAAGGGGGAAGAAGAGAGAGACAGTTTGAGGGAGCATTGAAAATGGAGGGGCGAGGGAGGAAAAAAGCCAAGTTTGAGGGGGACACTGAAAATTGGGGGCGAGGAAGGGAGAAGAGGCAAGTTTGGGGAGGGACTGAAATGAGTGAGGGGGAAGAGGACGAGGTAAGTTTGAGGGGGGCACTGAAAATGGGGCGAGGGGTCATGGGGGAGCAGAGATAAGTTTGAGGGGCACTGAAAATTGGGGGCAAAGTAAGGAGAAGAGGTAAGTTTGAGGAGGGGCTGAAATGAGTGAGGGGGAAGAGGACGAGGTAAGTTTGAGATGGCACTGAAAATGGGGGCGAGGGGTCATGGGGGGGAGCAGAGGTTGAGGGGGGCACTGGAAACGCGGGGCGGCAGGGGGTGCCGCCACTTCAGGTGCCCCCGCATGGCCGCGAGGAGGGGGCAGGCGCGGGGAGGCCCTCTCGCCCACCTCAGCACCTGGTCCCAGTCGCTCTGGATCCGCACCACCGCCGCCATCTTGCCCGGGGCCCCTCCCCGGAAAGGGCATCCCGCTGCCCTCCCCCCGGAAGGCCCGGGCGCCGCCCACCAGGGAAGCAGCTTGGCCCGCGAGGAGGCCTCAGGGGAGCCCAAGGCCGAGGGGAGCCGGGCGGGCGGGCGTAGGAAGGCCGCCGCCGGGCGTGGGCGGTCGAGCGGTCTCTTCTTTTTTTGCCTGCGTAGCTCGGTGGGCGGGGCGCCCGGCGCGCGCGGGAAGCTAAGCAGGCTCAGCCCCGGACAGCTTTCGGATGGGAGACCGGAGCAGCGGCCCGGACGGCGGCGTCATTTCCGCGTAGCTCGCGCGTGCTTGGCTTTTCCCGCGGAGCACATCATCTCCAAAGACTCCTCCCGAGTAAGGTTATAGCCGTCCAAGAGTAAAAAGGAGAGGATCCTCCACCTCCTCCTACAGATCGGGAATTGGCTAAGTTGCAGGAAAGCTATTTATAAATAAGACAAGTTCTCCGGATGTCAGCCTAAGGATCCGCAAGTGAAGTTTCTTCACATCTTGCCGGAAAAGCTTCAGTTATTACTTTTGACTTTAGTAATCCGGGAGAATTGTCAGGAAAGTGGGGGAGAAACTCTAGGGCCTTTGAATGCAAAGTGTGGCAAATTCAGTATATTGCACATGCAAAAGACACTGTGCCATAGCTGTCAACTTTCCCCTTTTCTTGCGAGGAATCCTATTCGGAATACTGTAAGGGAATTTCCCTTAAAGAAAGGGAAACGTTGACAGCTATGCACTGTGCTCCCATCTTTCTTTCTCATTCCCTCCATTCATAAGGCAAAATAACCACATCCGATGCCCTTTTAAATGTGTTGTGGCTGGGCGGATGCTTGGTTTGTTTCTGTTCTTATTTTTATGATGTATTTTGTGTTTTTTTATTGTAATTTTATGTTGTGAACTGCCCTGAGATCTCTGGGTACAGGGCAGGCTTCTTCAACCTCAGACCTCCAGATGTTTTTAAACTGCAATTCCCATCATTCCTGACCACTGGCCCTGCTAGCTGGGGATCATGGGAGTTGTAGGCCAAAAACATCTGGAGGGCCGAGGTTGAGGAAGCCTGGTATAGGGCATAATAATAACTACCACCTAAGAGCTTTCCGTGCGCTGCTGTGGTTCGCCAGAAGCGGCTTAGTCCTGCTGGCCACATGACCCTGGAAAAACTGTCTGCGGACAAACGTTGGCTCCCTTGGCCTGTAAAGTGAGATGAGCGCCGCAACCTCAGAGTCGGCCACGACTGGACCTAATGGTCAGGGGTCTCTTTACCCTTTACCTTTAAGAGCTTTGGTTGATCTGTTTGACATCCTATACCCTTTTAAAATGTGGTTCTTTTCGGGGGGGGTGTTATTGGGTAGCTGTTTTTATTCTGATTATATGTGTTATCTTTTCTGTGAACCACCCTGAGACCTCTGGGTATAGGGCAGTATATAAACTCAATAAACAGTAATAAGAGATGACAAAGAGAAAGTAGGGCTGCAGTTCAGGTAACAAAACAAACAGCACATTGCTAATAATAATAATAATAATAATAATAATAATAATAATAATAATAATTTATTTATACCCCGCCCATCTGGCTGGGTTTCCCCAGTCACTCTGGGTGGCTTCCAACAGAATATTAAAATACAATAGTCTATTAAACATTAAAAGCTTCCCTAAACAGGGCTGCCTTCAGATGTCTTCTAAAAGTCTGGCAGTTGTTTTTCTCTTTGACATATGGTGGGAGGGCATTCCACGTTCAAGGTTTACTCTGTCCTACTGAATTCAATGGGGCATATTCCAGGTAAATGGGGTTAGGACTGCAATCTTAATCTTAATCTACTAATCATATGGCGCTTCCCTGATTACTTTCACAAATGTGAATAAAACTCTGCATTATTTTATGTTTAAGAGGCTAAGAGACATTGTACTGCTTTTATAAAATGCCTTTATCCAGGTCCAAGTCTTTAGCAGGTATTGTTCAAGCAACTTTAATGACAACCGGGCAATCACTTTCCCTTCTCTGCTTTTCTTTTTTAATGCCCATTTCCTTCTCTCTCATCCTCCCTCCAGACCCACCAGGATGTCAAGCGCCAACCCCTCGGGTCACAACTGGAACCGGAAGCCCAAAGCGGAGGAGGAAGAGGACGATCCCTTCGACAAAATGATCTCCCGCACCGGCTGCGCCTCTTTCCACTATGCGGTGCAGGAGTGCATGGCTGAACACCAGGACTGGCGCAAGTGCCAGGAGCAGGTGAAGAGCTTCAAGGATTGCATGATGGAACACGAGAAGCAGAGGATGGCAGAGCTGCTCAGAAGACAGAAACAGCATCAAACCACAAGCTGACAAGAGCCAGCTTTGCACAAAGGGCAGTTCCCTTGCTTGGAGGAAGTATTTAAATAACGGCAGTGCAGCACAGAGGTTGAGCTCTGGGAAACGGTTGCTGTGGGAGGTGGTTCAAAGAGATGGGATGTAACTGCATGCATTGCTCTTGCAGTAATCCCTTGGCTAAATTCTTCTGGTTTTTTAACAGAACAAGCAATACTTACTTTCTTGCCAAAAAATAAAAGGTGGAATTTATATGTCGTCTTCATTTTCTTTGTGGTTTAGGGTTTTCTAAAGATGATGTTATTGTAGAGATAGATAAGCACATCCTTATCACTCTCAATTATTTTCTGTCCCTTAATGCGTACAAACTTAACTGCGGTCCTGGACCAGACTGCTTAGTTGGCATTCATGAATCCTGCCCCTGTCCCACACTGGATTTGATAATTGCTCAGGAGTCTATCGTTCAACCGGACTGGGGGGGGGGGAATAGTTTAGGACAGGTCAGACTGGTGTTGTATATGCACACGGAACTGCTTTTAAGACCAATTCACAGAATGGGGAAGAAATCTGCTAGAGAGCTCTATTTGTGCTGATTTCAAAATCCAGATGTTGTCTTTGAGGCTACACTACTGGACAATTTGCTTTGGCACCCACAACCCAGGTTCCAGGAGCCATGTGGGGAATTGCTTTTCTATCCCAGTGTCTAACACTACCAAAAGCTGAATATTTCTTCACGACAGGATGGGAAAGTTCCCCCATCAGACATGAGAGCAGCAGCCCAGCTCAGGGGCACATTACAGCTCAGGCCTTGATAACACCTTAACTCTCTTTCTCTCTCCCTCTCCCTCTCCCCCCCCTCCTCTCTCTCTCAATACACCCACAAACACTCAATAAACTGGTTGGGCCTGCCCTGTACACAGTGCTGAATTGCCAGTACTATACCCAGAAAACTCTACCCAGATTCTGTAAGCAGAAGTCTAAATTGGTACAGGTGACGCAATGAACTTTTGCTTAACTCCAGCAACAGAAATTGCCTCATGTTACAGCACTCCGTAGAAGCACGCCATAAAGATTAAACCATTTATTATGAAAAAACAGACTCGTTATGACAGTGTTGGCTTTTGCAGCAAACACAGAGGTCCACTTCCACCGTGTCGTGGAACGTTGTGAAAAGGTCGACGATCGGCCACAAACCCCGATGTAAAATGGGTATTTGTAATGTGCTTGACTCAACTCATTTGAGAAAGCAGGTCCTCCAGTTCTGGACGTGCCTTCAGCCGAACCTTGAAGTCTTCTTCCGTGTGCTGTGGAGGGACAGGGAGGGGAAAACAACAACAGCAGGACGTTATAGATACTAGCATATGGTTGCCAGATTTTTTTTCAATGAATCTGGGGACACTTTTTTTTTTAAGCTGAGTAGCAACAGGGAGTCAGTAGTGGTGATGGTGAGGCAAAAGACCCTGGGCCCAAGCACACGTGCATATTGTATAAAGGTGCAAAGCCCTTCTTTTGCCCCCTGTGAAACATAAATGCGCAGTTTTTAAAGAACGGGACAACGGTCTGCCGCCTGCCCATGACTCCCAAGCCTTTCCTGATTCTTGCCCCCTTCCCCCTTTGTTTTGACAGACTGGGGGAGTCACGGGTGGGTGGCCATTGCCCAGTTTTTAAAAAACTGTGCATTTATGATTCACAGGGTGCAAAAGAAGGGCTTTGCACCTTGCCTGGCAGAGAAACCACATACCTTGCGCCCCTCCTGAGCACCAGGACATGGGTGGCCATATAAGACTGAGAATACAGTGCTACCTCTGCTTGCGAACAGGATCCATTCCAGAGCCCTGTTCACAACACGAGCAGAATGCAACCCGCGTCTGTGCGGGTCGCAATTCACCACTTCTGCGCATGCACATGACGTCATTTTGAGTGCGCAGGCGCAAGCGGCGAAACCCAGAAGTAACCCTTTCTGGTACTTCCAGGTCACCGCGGAAGCAACCTGAAAACATTCAACCTGAAGCAAACACAACACGAGGTATGACTGTACATTGTAAAATCAATTATGCCCTCAGATTCTGTGCTCAAAGCCAAAGTATGCAAATACGTGGGGTGCGTGGTAATTTGCCTGTTTTGCTTGATTCTGGTCATTTCCATTACCATTGCAATCACAGCCATTTGGTTTAAACTTCCCCTCGTTTGTTCTGGAACAAATTTCCTGTGGTGCAAAGGGACCAGGCAGTAAAGACACCAAGGTTCAAATCTGCTGTGAAGCTTGTCTCAAGAAGTCACCATTTCCACATGAGTCCTGCTGGGTCTGAGCAAAAGATCCATCAGGTCTGGCATCCTCCTAGCAATGGACAGGCAGGTGCATCCTGGAACCCCACAAGCTTCTTCTTCTTTGGCGATCCCTTGTAGCCAAGTAAGATTGTCTTCCATAAACACGGTTTTAACAATGAGTAAGTAAGTGACTGTGGAGGCCAATTCTAGATCCACACGTCCTTCCACAGTGGGGGACATAGGTTTCCGGGTGGGAGTTGATTATGGTGAGGGTTTGCCAGCGTGCCTTCCTCTTAGCACGTTTCCTCCTTTGCGTCCTGAGTTCGAGCATCTTGAAAGCCCATGACACCTTTGGAAAAGGCTGTTCTCCAACTGGAGTGCTCGCAGGCAAGTGTTTCCCAGTTGTCGGTGTTTATACTACATTTTTGTCAGTGTTTATACTACATTTTAGGGATGTGGGTGGCACTGTGCGTTAAACCACAGAGCCTAGGACTTGCCGATCAGAAGGTCGGCGGTTTGAATCCCTGCGACAGGTGAGCTCCCGTTGCTCAGTCCCTGCTCCTGCCAACCTAGCAGTTCAAAAGCACACCAAAGTGCAAGTAAATAAATAGGTACTGCTCCGGTGGGAAGGTAAACGGTGTTTCCGTGCGCTGCTCTGGTTTGCCAGAAGCGGCTTAGTCATGCTGGCCACATGACCTGGAAGCTGTACACTGGCTCCCTCGGCCAATAAAGCGAGATGAGCGCTGCAACCCCAGAGTCGGTCACGACTGACCTAATGGTCAGGGGTCCCTTTACTTACCTATACTACATTTTACATTGAGAGAGTCTTTAAACCTCTTTTGCTGACCACCAGCGTTACGCTTTCCATTTTTAAGTTCAGAATAGAGTAGCTGCTTTGGAAGACGGTCATCAGGCATCCGCACAACATGACCAGTCCAATGAAGTTGATGTTGAATCATTGCTTCAACACTGGTGATCTTTGCTTCCTCCAGGGCACAGCGACAACAGCCCTCCTTGGTTATTTGTCTCCAGCCCCTGGTATTCCAAGGCAAACTGCGTCTGAACAGGGAGGCTATGTATCATGTCTGCTGGGGAGTTTATTCCAAAGAGGTGTCCAACTACCAAATTCAGGAGGGAGGGAGGATGCGCATGAGAGAGGGTGTGTGTGTGTGTGTGTGTGTGTGTGTGTGTCCCCTGGAGCACTTCTCAGAACCTGCTTTTTAACAATAGTTTAAAAGCCAGGAGCCACAATGCTAAACCTGAACGCTTCAGTAAGAATCCACATACCTCTTTCACTAACAGATGGACTCCTTCCGGCCGATTATTCTGAACGATTTCCAAGAGAATAGGAGCGAATGCAGCATTCAAACCGCTGATCTGAAGGGGAAGAGGAAAAAAGAAAAAAGAAGCGGAATGGATCGTTGTCGGAGAAGGGGAAGAGAGCAACCCCCCCCTCACAAAACCGGGCTTACTATGTTATCAGTACACATCATTATGATAAGATGAAAGTAACACAAAGGCTTTCAGAATCATATAATAAGAAATTCAATTTTTAAAGTATGGGAAAAGTCAGGAGATTCAGAGTCATCTCAATATCTGGATTTTGTACTATTTTATGTTGTATGATTATATTTTGGAAAATCAAATACAAAAGATTAAGGGGGGAAAGAGCCTGTTTCCAGCAGGAACCAAAGGCCCAGTGTGAAACCAGGATTCTTACGTAGGTCTGCGGCTGGCCTGAAAAGACGCGTTTCTTTATTACTGTCATATCCAAACCTTCCTCTGAAGGAGATAGATGTGTCTTCCCCCGTTTTATACATTGAGGAAAAGACTTGACCTATGCCAGCTACTGAGCTCCACAGCGGCATATCTCTGTTCTGGTCTCCCTTGTAAAACACTCTATTCCAAATGTGGGGAACTGACCTCCTCTACCCACTACAATGCGGGTGGCGCTGTGGTCTAAACCACAGAGCCTAGGGCTTGCTGATCAGAGGGTCAGCAGTTCAAATCCCTACGACGGGGTGAGCTCCTGTTGCTCGGTCCCTGCTCCTGCCAACCTAGCAGTTCGAAAGCACGTTAAAGTGCAAGTAGATAAATAGGTACCACTCCAGTGGGAAGGTAAATGGCATTTCCGTGTGCTGCTCTGGTTCGCCAGAAGCGGCTTTGTCATGCTGGCCACATGACCCGGAAGCTGTACGCCGGCTCCCTCGGCCAATAAAGTGAGATGAGTGCCGCAACCCCAGAGTCGGACATGACTGGACCTAATGGTCAGGGGTCCCTTTACCTTTATCCACTACTGTAATGTGTGCAGAGGTGTTCCACCAAGATGATCAAAGTAGAGCAGTGGGGCTTTAAAATGACTGCATCTCCAGCACTGCCCCTGTTGTTTTTAGTGTACTCCAAAAAAGAAGGGAGGCGGATAGTGCTGTGGCCTAAACCACTGAGCCTCTTGGGTTGCCGATCGGAAGGTCAGCGGTTTGAATCCCCGTGACAGAGTGAGCTCCCGTTGCTCTGTCCCACCTCCTGCCAACCTAGCAGTTTGAAAGCACACCAGTGCAAGTAGATAAATAGGTACTGCTGCGGTGGGAAGGTAAACGGCGTTTCCGTGCACTCTGATTTCTGTCACGGTGTCCCGTTGCACCAGAAGCAGCTTAGTCCTGCTGGCCACATGACCCAGAAAGCTGTCTGCGGACAAACGCCGGCTCCCTCGGTCTGAAAGTGAGATGAGCGCCACAACCCCATAGTCGCCTTTGACTGGACTTAACCGTCCAGGAGTCCTTTACCTTTTACTCCAAAGAACTCACAGAGAACTCAGCTGAAAGACTGCCGGGCAACATGATGTCACCATACTATTAAAAGACAAAAACGAAGAGGAAATTGGGCAGGTGAGACCTCCTACCTGAACAACACGTTGGTGGGTTGTAAGAACAGCATCCAGGTGCGCCTTGGAGCCTTGTTCCTGCATCAGCATCACCTCTGTGGTC